TTTCTATTAATACTTAATTAATTGATTTTTCTTATGAAACTATACCAAAAATAGTTTTTCTTTTTTTAGGAATAGAAAAAAAAGAAATCCAATAAAGTTAGAGTTTTATCCAAAAAAAAATATTATAAAAGAAGGTTATTTTAGATTTTTTTCAAAAATGTGGATAAAGAGTGTATTATTTTTATCTCCTTTAGCAAATAAATAAACATTTACAAGAAGTTATTGCTTTTTTTCCTTATTACTTAAATTACATTGTATGGATTAGGGAGTATTACACTGAAATTGCCATATTTTATGAGAAATTGCTTTTAATAGAATTATTTTTAGTTTACAATATATAAAAAATAATAGAGTATATTAATATTAATTATATTTGACTATTCTTAGTTATTTATTTAGGTTTATTTATTGAGAAAAAGAAGAATATGAGTTATAGACAAAATAATTTTTTAATAATTTCACGCACAACCCTTAGAAATGATAAAATGTTCGTTATTACCACATGAGTAAATAAATAGCCTTCTAAAAATTTCTTTACTGTTAGCACATAACCAGAACTTCTAATCATATATTTCATGATATTCATTGTTATATTTTTTGTAATAAACTTAGCATTAGCTGAGTTTGATATGAATAAAGATGATATTACTTTATTCAAAGAATTTGTTTCAAGATTTCAAAAAAGATATGAGACTCCATCTCAAAAGTTAACAAGATTTGCATTGTTTAAGAAGAACTGCGCGAATATTCGAAAGTGGAACGCTGAAAGAAAAAATGAAAGAGATGCTCAATTTGGTATTACTTCAAGAACAGATAAACTTCCCATGGAATATGGGTTAAGTCGTAATATGAACGTTTTGGCAAGTAAAACAAAAGAAAATGATGTTATAATTGATGGAGGAGCATACCCACCAATACTACCAGAATCTGATGATATACCAGAGTTTTTATCATATTGTGGTGATTATGTTGTAAATAATACTGACCACCCAAAAGTAAATTTGTGTTTAACACCATATGATCAAGGAAGTTGTGGCTCTTGTTATGCAGCATCAACAGCAAACCTTGGACAATATTTATATGCCAATTTATCATATTATTATAATGTAGGAAATCAAGATAATATTGTAATTAAAAACTTTACAGCCCAACGATGGATAGATCAAAAAAATAATATTTATGTTAGAAGATGTTGTGGTGGAAATACTAAAATGATGTTATCAAGTCAACCTACATTTTCTACAGAATATGAATATCCATATGTTGATATTCATACCTCAGAAAATGATATAAATGGTTGTAGAAATAGAGGAGATCAAAACCCAAATGTTGCTATTCATTTAAGAACACAAAAAATTACTGTATTTGGAATGGAAAATACTTATTCTCATTTACAAAAAGTAACTATTATTAAAAAGATTCTCCATCATTATGGACCAATTTCTGTTTCTATTTTAGTTGATGTAAATCAAACCAATAATGCTATTAAAATGGCTAACTATAAAGGAGGTATTTTCAAATTCCCAAATACATGTAATGTTAATAAAATGGGAATTGATCATCAAGTTATTATAGTTGGATATGGTGTTGAAGATGGAGAAGAATATTTAATTATGAGAAACTCTTGGGGTAAATGGGGAGAATATGATGATGGATATATGAAAATATCTACTGAAACATCATTGTGTGGTATAGGTGAAATAGTTGAAAATTATTATCCATCAAATTATATTATTTATGCTGGAAATTGTATTCTTGATAGAAATTGTGCCTCTTGTAATAGCAAAACTTTGGTATGCTCTGAATGTAAAGAAGGAACTACCATGGATAGTCGTGGTATGTGTTTAGATAATTCTTATCCTTCAATTCCAGAAGATGCTGTTGCACCAGAAGAACCTAACCCTGACCCTGATCGTCTTGAAGACCCACCAGCAGAAGACTCTGTTAATGGTCTAGTTATTTTTTCAATTATTTCTTTGATTGTTCTTCTTATTTGATTTAAGTGATGGTTATAACCTTATTTTAAATTAATTTTATTTAATCAGAATAAGACTATTATTTCTTCTTGTTAAAATTATTCTTTTAAACTTCTAACTGTTTAAGACTTTCATTTAATTTATTATCCAATATTTTTTCTGTACTTTTACTAATAAGTTTAATTTATTTTTCATAAAATTGATTTATTTAATTCACTATAATATTTATTTATTCATTATTATTCGAGGGTGTTTTTATTTTATAAAAGTCATAACATTGAAATAATTATAAAAGTAATTCAAGCATTAGGTAAATTAAATGGTTGTCTTTGTTTGTTGGTTTTATGTTATTAATTTGAAAAGACTTTTTCATGAATAAACAAACAATTAAGTTAAAAATCTAACTATTATATTTAATTGTCTTAAAATGACAAACTTGATTCTTTATTCATTTTTCATAATTTATTCATTATTTAAAAAATAAGATATTAAAAAAGAAAAAAAAACAGATGATAAAAAAAAACACAGTTTAATTCATAAGAATTATCTGTATTATATATAAAATCTATAAAAAAAATACTTTTGTACTGAAAAAAAAGAATATAAATAAAAAATTATTAATTTAATTCTTACAAAAGAAGCATAACAGTAGCTAAGAGTAACATCATTGTAAGACTAGCACCTGAGTCAAAGGCACAAAGGGCTATAGCATAAGCGCTATAATCTTGGGCTGTTAATTGATTGCACTTATCACATGGAACAATGGTCCTTGCTGTTGGATTTCCTGAACAACCACTTCCTTCATACTTTAATCTAACAACAGCTTTTCCAACGTTTTCTTCATCAGTAGTAATTACTTTATAAGAAACAGTATTATCTATATCATCTTGTGAATCAATATGATCGTAACAAGACCCAGGTTCTCTATAATTATTTGATACATGTTGGTTATAATCAAGACAATCTGGAGTAAATGTAAAGACAATATTCACAAAAAAGTCATCAAATTTTGAGTCTGTGAATGAATAATAAGAATCAGTATTATCTGTTTTTATAACAACAACTTTATCACCATTATCATTAGTACTATATTCACTCTTTGTACAATTTGTAGAATAATAATCTCTTTCTTCATAATCATCACCATTCTTAACTATCTTATAAGAATAACAAGTATGACCATTATATTCAAATGGTATAAATAAAAGATAACAATGATCTTCTTCAATATATTGGTAACTTCCATCATCATATCGATGATAAATTATTGGTTCTGATGATTCAGAAGATAAAGAAAGTGCAATTAGTGCAATAAATATTATTAAAGACATCTTCTTGAATATATAGACTCTTTCTATCTTAGTTCAAACCCTTTTTAAATATAGAAAGACATGAAATTTTGATTTAATTACTTTCTATAAATAAATAAAACCGATTTTTTTCACTTAGAACGAAAAAAAAATGTATAATTATGACACAAATTAAAGAAAATAACTTGATTTATTACTAATAATAAAAATACTGAATTTTTTTTAGTAACATTTATATATATTTATATTTTTTTAATAATCCAGTTTTATCAATCCTTTAACTATATTTTATTAATTAAATGTGAGTCAAGAATTATCTTACAAATTCAACCCTCTCTTAAAATACTAAAAATGATATCTATTCTTCTTATTTTTTTAATTGACCGACTTGTTATATTATTAGATTTCTGATCATTTATTTATAGAACTTATATTTGACATATGAAGAGAAATTTGTTATGATAGAAATGTTATATTGTTTGTTGGTATTTTTGTTATTAAATTACTATCCAATTGGGTAAATTAAAAAAAATTAAATTTATGATATTTTTTATTCTTTCCTATTTTCATCATTTGAGAAGTTATAACATTAAAACTATTATCAAATTTATCATCAATTTATATAACCAACAGATTCTTATACATATTATTTTATATCAAAACAAGAGATAATAATAATAATAAAAACTAAACTGAAATAAACAGAAGAAAAAAAGAAGTTATTAGCGATACAAAAATATAAATTTATTTTATATTTAAATCATAATTATTAAAAATTCACATAATCATTGTATTATTCTGTCTCAGTAACTTATTTCTTTTTACAACACCTAATACTCCAGACTAACAACATTATTACACTTTCTTATACAATTGAATAAATAAATACAATGTACTCAAATTTTTGTTATGTAGTTTAAACAAATTAGAATATTAACATAATAAATACAAAACTGATGGTTGATATAAGTTAACATAACATACATTTAGTACTTTGTTATTCTTTTCGTAGAAAAGAAAAATAAATTATTGAATAAATGAAAATGAGAATAAAATGAATTGAATTTTCCAAGTTATTTTTCAACACTTAAATGAACTTATCAAAAACCACTTTAAATTAATTGTACTTCAATCTAATTTAGCTTTTGAATAAAACTCTGGGAGTTTATGCCAAAGATTATCATCAAGATAAATCAATGTATAGAATCCAAGAGTAATGAGATAAATATGTGGGAATTGAGCGTTATGAAGAATTGCAACAATAACAAAAATTATTGAGAAAGTAATAGTATTTTGGAGGAGTGTTTTTGGATTAGCATAAATCTTAATCGTATGCTTTTGCCAAAAATAAACGACGATATACAAGTAAACATATGATATTAAAACACATGCTAAATAGGAAAAAATAAATGCACCAACTATTCCATATTGATTAAATCCTTTAGAATAATAAATTAAAATTCCTGTTGTATTAAAGAAAATTACACTAATACCTGAAAGAAGTCTAAAGGATTTAGAATTCATATTGGCATTAAGAATAATAAATCCAATAAGAAAATGACTTAACAAAACATATATTTTTGTATCAAGAGAATTTCCAATTTGTCCAAAGTATAATAACATAAGGTTACTTGATATCGTTGCATATAATGGACTTAAAAAATATGAATAAGGTCTTAATTTGTTAAACACATCTGAAGCTATTAATTGATTGTAAAAAGAGGAAGATAAATAGATAGCTATATTCACAATAGGCATAGAAAGATATTGGTCAAGAAAGGCTGGTGGTTGGAAAAGGCTCATCAGTAATGAACTAAAAATTAACTGATTTTAATAAATAGTACTTAAAATTATAACGAGAACCTATTTGTAGACTTTTATAATTAATATTTATGATAAATAACAAAAAAATTATTTATATAGTTCAATCAACTATATTAATTTATTTATTTATTATTATAGTATTTTTATTTTATTGTTTATTTAATTATTTTTGTTTTTATCATTAAATATATTTCTGTTAATATTTCATATGTGTTTTTTACTTTCAGTATTTATTCTTTTCCTTTAACCACCAATACCACTTCTCCATTTAACTACACTCCCTTTTTCAACTTAAATTTGGAAAAAAAAAGAGTAATAGGATAATCTAATCAAAAAAAAAATGATTTTTTTATTGAAATAAGTGAAAGTTCTTATATTTCTCATATTTAAGTCTCGTTATTTTTTATTATAAAAGCGGTTAATATATTTATAAGAGGAAGAAAGAATGGTGTTAGTTTAATTTATTTAATAAAGTTACAAAAATACTTATTTGAATTAAAAAGTAACAGAAAATGAAAACATAACTTATTTCAATATGCTAACCATCACAGGTTAAAGTAAATAAAAGATTCAATTTAAAATAAAATAGTGTTGTGTTTCTTTGTGGATTAGAAGAGTGAAACCAATTAAATAATGAGAAAAAGAGGAATAAAGAAAATGTAAATCAATAGAATCAATAAGAAAAGAAGAAAGAAGAATAAGAAGAGAATTTCAAAAGAAGAAAGGTTCTAAGTCATTGAAATTATTAAAGAATGATAGAAGAAAACAAAAAAAA